CTTTAGGCCAGTTTATTTTCGCTTGTAATTAGCGAATTTACTGTCACTATTATCCAGATTGTGAACAGAGACCCAACAGTGACCCCTCTTGTGTCACTTTTGAATAATCCCCATTCTTATTCTCCTCATTCATGGCTGGTGATGGCGTTAAACCCGTAGGGGTCTTACAACGCCTGTGGAAAAGTGAGGTAATGAAGTATGCAAACTCTGGTGCTTATTTAACGGTCAGTCTTCTGCCCCCCCCCCTTTTTTTTTTAGCAAAATTGGATACATCAGCATTGGTCAGCTACTGTATGATTTACCTGTGGCCTGTTTTGAGTTTTCCCGGCCGCTGTCCAGGTTTTCCTGTTGACTGCCTGGTCGATCAGGCTGTTTCTGTTGGAATACACGACAACAATCCAGCTGCTATTAACAAGGTCGCCTAACAGAAGGTAAGCAGCGTAACAATAAGAAGACGGATGATCGAGCCTCCACCAAGTGTCCTTAATAACTAACCCGGGTTGGAGCTTCACATATAAAAAAGAGACTAATGGCTTGCGCAACCACTTTTTCTGCCTCTTGTTCTTAAAATCAAAGGCTCACAGAAGTGCAGATAAACAACGTAGTATCCACCGCTTCAAATATTTTGGTGGACAAAAGTCATTTAAAAAAACACTCATCAGGTTGGTAGATTCATTAAGTCCAAACTAAGACTGTCTCTGTCTCTCGAAAACTGTTTATATCAGTCGTTGGTAGGCGAGTGCCTTTATCCTTGAGTGAAACGTTCTCAAAAAAAAGGCTTGTTTTGCTGATACACACCTTTGATGTACCTTTGATGAGTTTCGAGTTTTTCTACTCCCGAAGCCCGGCCATGGGCCAGGCTCGTGTTCGTACTGCAGAGTATCTGAGTGGTTATCTTCTGTAAGTTTGGTGTAATAACTGTTTGCAAATATTTATTAAAGAAACTAAGTTCCTCCTTCGCACTCTTGAAGAACCGTCGTAACATGGGAGACAGACTTGTTTAAGAACCACGGAAGCAAGCATTTCCTAACCCGGAGAGTCTGTTTGAGAACCTTGAAAACACATCATAACCCGAGGGCCTATTTAAGAACCCGTAACCTGGGGACTCAAGGACTTTAAAAGTGGCACCCAGGAACCTGGGACTTGAGTAAGAACCATGTTACTAGTGACTGTTTACTTCCTACATTTTTTCTCTCTTAGAACCATAAATTTTTCATATCTGGAATTTCATTTACATCTCCTTCTGTAAACCGAAATCATTACTGAAAAACTGGAATATTCCTGCAGCACTAACTTGCAGCTTTGGGAAACTAAAGCTTCGTACCTTCAAGACAAGTAGGAATAAAGACAATGGTACCATTGTCTACCTTCAAGACAAGTAGGAATAAAGACAATGGTACCATTGTCTACCTTCAAGACAAGTAGGAATAAAGACAATGGTACCATTGTCTACCTTCAAGACAAGTAGGAATAAAGACAATGGTACCATTGTCTACCTTCAAGACAACAATGCTGTAGATGTTTCATTGTAGTCAAACTGTAGCAGCTTCGAAAATGACGATGTAGCGGCTTCTAGAGTGAAGCTGTAGTGACTTCGAGATAGTGAAGCTGTAGTGGCTCGAGACAGTGAAGCTGTAGTGGCTTCGAGATAGTGAAGCTGTAGTGGCTCGAGACAGTGAAGCTGTAGTGGCTTCGAGATAGTGAAGCTGCAGTGGCTCGAGACAGTGAAGCTATAGTGGCTCGAGACAGTGAAGCTGTAGTGGCTCGAGACAGTGAAGCTGTAGTGGCTTCGAGATAGTGAAGCTGTAGTGGTTTCGAGACAGTGAAGCTGTTGTGGCTCGAGACAGTGAAGCTGTGGCAGGTTGCAACAATCCAACTGTGGCAGCCTTGCCACAGCCTAGCTGTTGTAGCCTTGAGACGCAGGCAGCAGTGGAATACCAATATCACTTCGCTGTAATAGTCTGGAGACAGTCCAGCGTCGTAGTTTAAAAGTTGTGCAGATGTTGCTGTCTTTAAAAGTCTTAAAACTAATCACAAAGTCAACACTTGTTTTCGCTGCATCAAGAGTCTGATCATACCAGCGGTGTTACGTCCGAAATATGATGATATACATTTCAACAAATAAGGTCGTTCAAATTTAACAAATTGACATCGCCAAGGTCCAAAGACTAGTCTTATCTACTAATGTAAACGCTCTCTGCTGATAAGTGTTGTACTTGTATTATCTACGCAACTAAACCAATTACACCTTTAATACTTTACTGAGTGCTAATCCCAACATTTGAATTTCACATACGGTTCTTCATGAGTCAGTCAATACCAACCTGACTGACTAGGTAATTACACATGGTAACGTGTAATTACCTAGGGTAACCCCCCCCCCAGGTCCCTGTGCTGGACATGATCTGGCGAAGAAAGTTGAAGGTGAACTTGACATCTCTGGAGAAGAACAATCATAGCCTTGGCGATGATATTCTAGACACTCATCACAAGATATTTAGGATAACCATCTTAGGACAAAATACCTTCAATGAAAAGCCGGGTCGCGACGAGTACTTTACGGGAAAACTCGGTAAACGTATGAGGACCAATTCTCTTCAGCACCCACTTCCTCTTCAAGCTTAAAATGAATTACTAACAAGCTCCTGGCGGCCTTCAAGACCTTAGTTGATAACTCTCTGATACTCTTGATTAAGGGAGTTTTTCCTGTCCCAGATCCCGGCCTTGGGCCTACCTACCTGGAGTCTACCTGGAGGTTATTCTGGGGATCAACGCCCCCTCGGCCCGGTACACGACCAGGCCTCCCGGTGGATCAGGGCCTGATCAACGAGGTTGTTACTGCTGGCCGCCTGCAGTCCAACGTACAAACCACAGCCCAGCTGATCCGGCACCGACTTTAGGTATCTGTCCAGCTCCCTCTTGAAGACAACCAGGGGTCTACTGGTAATGCCCCTCATTATTGGTGGGAGGATGTTGAACAGTCTTGGGTCCCGGACACTTACTGCGTTTTCTCTTAGTGTACCAGTGACGCCCCTACTTTTCACTCGGGGTATGTTTCATCGCCTGCCAAATCGTTCATTTTCGTATGGAGTGATTGCTGCGTGCATATTAGGGACCAGTCCCTCCAGAATCTTCCAGGTGTAGATTATGATGCATCTCTCTCGCCTGCGCTTTAGTGAGTACAAGTCAAGTGCTTCCAGGCGCACCCAGTAGTTAAGGTGTTTGATGGAACTTATATGTGCAGTAAAGATTCTCTGTACATTCTCTAGATCTGCAATTTCACCTGCCTTGAATGGGGATGTTAATGTACAGCAGTATTCCAGCTGCCTAGAAAGAATAAGTGATTTAAAAAGGATCATCATTGGCTTAGCATCTCTTGTCTTGAATGTTCTCATTATCCATCCTATCAGTTTCCTAGCAGATGTGATAGTGACATTGTTGTGGTCCTTGAAGGTGAGATCTTCGGACATTACCACACCCAGGTCCTTCACATTGCTTTTCCGCTCTATTGTGTGATTGGAGTTTGTAGTATACTCAGTCCTAGTTATTATTTCCTTCAGTTTTCCATAACGGAGTAGTTGGAATTTGTCTTCATTGAACATCATATTGTTCTCTGTTGCCCATTAGAAAACTTGGTTTATATCTTCTTGGAGCTTTGCTGTGTCCTCAATGGATAATACACTCTCATGCAGATCCTAGTATCGTGTGAAAGGATCATACAGTGGAGCTTGCCTGATCAACCAGGCTGTTGCTGCTGTTGGTGGCCGCTGACCCACATGTCTATCACAGTCTAGTTGATCGGTACCTGATCAGCCAGGGTGTGGTGTATACGTTGGTGTGCGTATGGCTGGCATCAACAGCCTGGTCGATCAGTCCAGCAACTGGGAAAACCTAGTCTAGGACCGGACTGCGGGGACAGTAACCCCTGAAACCAACTGCGGGTAACCTACAGATGGTGATCTCCTGGTTTTTAACTCCGGTAAGCCAGCGCATTCTTAACCTGTTTTGAGCCATTAGTTGACTAAGATCAATGTCAAAAGAAACTTGTTTTCCAAGGTATAAATCACCGCCACCACCGACAAACTTTAAGATACAACAGAACTAGAGAGAAACTAACACCAGGAGGAACAGAGAACCAAGTTAAATATACAAACGAACCATAGGTACATTAGGAAACCCTTTTTAATTTGAGAGTAATAAAGTGGAACGCAGTAGTAAGCCGGTGAATGAAAGACTCCATGGAAGGCTTTAAAATAGGTATGAGAAAATGTGAGAACAATATTTTTCAAAAGATTTTGAAGGCGGAGGGACCCAAAAGATTGAGCTCAACTCCACTAACACAGATAGGTATGCGTGCGCACACAAGCGGGTGCACACATGTAAGCGCAGACAGACAGACACACATACATACTACACGGAAGCCTCACCCCAATATTGCTTATATCCCACTGGCGCCGACTAAGGTTACCTGTACGTGGTCCACCTCACCCGCGCTATCTGCCTCCCTTCCCACCTTCCCTTATCTTATTAAACACGAAATTATACGAGGCACGTGGATGCTGGAGGCAATCATCGGGTGTACATGTAATGAGTGTGGGGGCAAGGAATCTCTTCTCTCCTGTAAGGATCGTGCTAAATCGTGCTGTTAAATGTAACTTAATTATTGAAGTTAGATTACTTACAGTATAACAGTAAGGCGATTTCTTCTTTCTTGTTGTGTCTAATTCACTACTCCAGTACACGAGATAAAACAAGTTTGATCCCTTTACCTAATATAGAAATCAATTCGTCTGAAAGGTCAGAACTGTTGCCACTAGCTAACTTAACACTTGAATATGTACTCGATATGCATTATACGTTGAGGGAGAGGCGACTTACCTGTGGGAGGCGACAGGTGAGGAGCTCTGGTGAGAAGTACACGTGCCCGCCCAACCGCAAGCACCACCCCCCTACCCCCACCCCGTCAATCCCTAATATCCAGCGTTAAAATATCGACGTACCTGTCTGGAGAAGTCTGGCCCAGTGGTAGGGGTTGGCACACACGTAGACATGGTCGTTGCGGGCGGCGCAGGTGGGGAGGCGCTGCAGGGGAGTGTTATTGTGCTGGTGGGCGTGAAGGTCCGGCCACCGCCACACCCACACCATTAGCAGATGTGGTGGAAGGGTGCGCCCATCCACATGTTCTTCCCCAGAGTTCCTCAGCACCAACACACATTGTCCTGGGTCACCGCCTCGAGAGTCCAGTGCTGACACTAGTAACTCCAGCTGCGCCTCGGTCAGGCGACGGAGCAGATGTAGTGCGGCGCCCTTGAGCTGCTGCGTCGCCTCCTGCTGCTGCTCTTGCTGAGGAGCCTCCCCCAGCCCGATCCGTCGAGACTTCCACGCTCGCTTCACCAGGGCGGCCTTCCTGGAGCGAAACATGAACATGAAGCAGGGAGTGGCGCCGCCCGGGCATAGCTTGGAGGGCGAGGCCGCCCCGCCCAGCCCGCGCGCCCACGCACACCACCCGCCCTCACTACGCCCGCGCCGCACACACTCTCCGCTACTACTACTACTGCCGTTACTATTAGAGTCACTCCAGAGGGGCTCGGGGGCCGCACCTGCCTCCGTGATGGTGGTGATGGAGGGGACCAGGCTGGTGTCGGAGGTGGTGGAGGGGAAGGCAGTAGCCGCCGCAGCTCCACCAGGGGGGCTCGCACCACATGGGGCCGCCGCCGCCCGCAAGCCCCAACCACAAACACAAACACTTCCACCAGAGCTCACACTCAGGCTAGCAACTCCACGCCTGCCTCTGTAAACTATGATCAGGATGACACTAGCGCTATACACTGCGGGCGGGCCACATCCTGGGACGTGGCATACACCAACAACACTGGCACTGGCTGGGGTGGGCCATGCACCGGGAACGCGCACACAGGTACACAACTGGGACAGGTGTAGTGTTGTGTACTGTCTCAGGTGTGGACCTCGACTGTCGCGTCAACCACACAGCGCCTCCACACCGCTCACTACACTCGCTCTCCACACAACTACTAAAAACTGTTTATCTCCAGCCTTCTCGAATTGACAGACTTTAACAATATTACCAACTTGTTCTCCTTTACACACAGAAGCAGCTCTATATATTATATAAACTTTCTTCGTTTAGTTTTTCCAAAGAAATGTATTTAAAATGCTTAGTGGCACCTCGCTGCAGACGTCTGTTGCCAGATCACGCGACGAATACATTAATTTCAGTCACGGTGTTGACCTGGGTCACGTGTGGAGGGTGCGGCCATGGACGCCAGGTCAGGTCACTCAGGACACACTATCATAGCTTACAGTTCCTCTCATATTACCAGGTTCAAGAGATTGTCGGCAAGATAACTTCTGATGGCGCCGTGTGTGTAGTGCCGCCCCACTCGCGTTCAGCATCCTCCGTCTGGCAAAATATTGACTTGTTTATGTAATACCAACACTTGTCTGAGATTGTTTCTACGCTGTTATTAGTGCGAATATATCAGTTTTGTATTAACCTATCCACTTTCGATGACTTGCTCAACGACAAGCGCGAAGACTAGAGAAAATTTGAGTACTTTTATCCGAATTGTTGGGATTCAAACTAGAGTAGACTCCCGCCACCTCTGTAAATCCCACTTTCTTTAACTAGACCACCCTGAAGGAGAGACCAGACACCCCTGTCAACAGTGCCTGGCTCGTGCCGCTCTTATTTCTTTTAACCCTCTTTTTCCCCTTTTAAAAATTTTTCCTTTTTTTAAGTTATGGGGGTGGAAGATGTGCTTACGCCCTTTTTTTGGGGAAACGACAAAATTAAAATCAGATGCCCTTTTTAAATAAGCCCAAAAAATTAAATTTATATCAAGGAAGGTTTTTTTGGGGACAAAGTTTGTAAACAAAAAAAATTTGGCCCGATCTCAGGCACCCATGGCAAAATGCCCAACCCTTGCGTTAAATCAACTTTTTTTTCTTTCTTAAGGGGTTTTGGTTTAAAATTTAAAGGGTCGTGGGGTTGCTTTTCCCCAAGCAAAAAACCCTTTTGTATGTCACCTTTAAAACTTCCTAACACTTGAATTTTTCTTTTATAAAAAAATTAAAAATTAAAATTTTCACTAAATAAGTATTTGCAAAGAGTTTTTTTAACAGAAAAAGAAAACCGAGGCACTAAATTTATATTTGTCAGAAACATCCGGTGACTTATATTAGCTTTTATGGGTCCATTTTTAAATTGACTTTTACACTTAAATTAGCACCAAAGAAGAAAACCACAACACCCAAAGTATATTTATTTTTATTTTTAATATATATTTATTTTATATATATATATATATATATATATATATTTATATATTTTGTGGTGTGTGTGTGTGTGTGTGTGGGTGTGTGTGATTTTGGGTTGGTGTGTGTGTCGTGCCTAATGGGTTTAAAAATAGGGTAAATTAGCAAGAACCTTTTAAAATTTTAAGTTCCTTTCTAAAATTTTTTTCTTTTATTTTTTTAAAGATATTTTTTTTATTAATGTTAATGAAAAAAGTTTTTTTTTTTTGCCCCCAAAAAAATCTTAGAAAATTCCCAAACCAAATTAAACAAGCCCCTTTTTATTTTAGCCTAATCCAAAAAAATTATTTTTTAGATATGTTTACAAAATTTTAAAATAAAAAAAACAAAAGGGAAATATTTTTTTTTTTCATTAGGGTCAGAATGATTTTGGCGAAAATTATTGCATACAAAAAATTTTCCCCTTTTCCTATGGAGGGGGGCCCGAGGATGTTTCAATTGCCTCCCGCTTACATAAGGGGGATTACAATAGACCCACGTTTTTCAAGCTGGCAATGGACAAGCACCAAAAATCGGTACATGACCAGCCCGGGGTTGGCCGTACGTTGGATTGCGTGCAACCGCAGTAAAAAGCCGGTTGGTTTAGGCTCTGATCCACCAGGAGGCCTGGTCAAAGACCGGGGGCCCCAAAGGGGGGTTGACCCCCGGGGAAATTCTCCAAAGGGGAAAATCCGGTATGGAGAGGGAGCATGGAAAGGGGGTTGGTTTCCCCCAAATTGCAAAAAAAAAAAAAAGACCCTAGCCCACTCACAAAGGGGGACCCGTAAAGCAACGCAAAGAACTTTCAGACCGATAGCACTAAAAAATCCCATATCATAAAAATCTTTTAAAGGGGGCCCAAGAAGCAAGATGCCAAACCCCCTTTTAGAAACCCCTCAGGGTTTCACAAAACCCGGACAAAAAATGGATTTGAGCAAAGGGCGCTCCCGGGCTGTTTCCCCAATACTGGAAACCTACGACAAGGTCCTAGATTTCCTTTGAAGACAAAAGAATGCAGTTGTAAAAAATAAGACTTTGGGAAAAAACCTTCGACAAGTGTGCCCCTGGGTAAAAGGGCACAAAAAGGTTTCTAAAGGAAAAAAAGGAAAAATCGGTTTGATGGATCTATAAATTTTCCCCCTAAAAGAAAAAAAGTTGAGTTTAGTCAACAGAGTAAAAAGTCTGGGGCGGCTACGGTGAAAAAATTTTGTTCACAAGGCCCCAGTACTCCTCCCATCTTGTTTTCTCATCCTCATTTTGACTAGAAAGGATGTCGGCCAAAAGCACCGTGTTTTTCCTTTGAGATGCACCCGAATCTGGGATGGGCAGTGTTTTCCTTGCAGAAACTTTCCCAAAGGGTCCAGGCGGGGCATCAACCAAAAACTTTCAGTGGGCTGCAGGGAAAAAAAATATGAAGTTCAACGATAAAAAAAATTTCAATTACTCCCATTGGTAAACCCGGGAAAAAACTTTACGAGTTTTAAAAAAAATTCCAGCCCCAAAAATATAGCGAAAAAAACCCAATTCAATGACCGGGGGTGAAACATGTACGAGGAAACTCAAAAATTTAAGGACCATAACATTGTGTCAAAAGCATCTGCAAAGAAAAAAAGAAAAGAGGAGGATAATGAGAACCTTTTAAAAATAGGGAGGGGCCAAAACTCATGATTTACACTCTTCAGGGGCACTTGTTTTTATTTTAGGCTTTGGTAAAATTGCTGCACACTAAACGCACCTTTCCCAAAAAAAAAGAAGGTTTAAATTGCCCCGGGCCCCAGAAAAAAGTTTTTGGGGGAACCTTCACGGCGCCTAACAGGATTAAAAAACCTAATTACGGGAGCGCCCTTTTTAAGGTTTTTCCGGGAAACCTTTTACTCCCTGGGAAGAAGGGGGGGGGAGGGGGATAGGGGGAAAAAAAATTTAAAATCCAGAAAAGGGGGAATTTGAATTTAAGAAATACATGAAAACAAAAGGAGGAGAGATAAAATAATTTTAAAAGGGGGGGGGGTTATAAGTTAAAACAAAAAATTTTTTTTTAAAAGGGGGAGACTGTTCCAACTTTCCCCCAAACATCATAAGGGGGAAAAAAAAAAAACCCCGGTGTTTTTGGGAAAAACCCCCAAGAAAAAAAGGCAGAAAGGGGGGCTTGGGTTTTTGGTTGGTTTTTCAGGAAGGGGGGTAAAAGCCTTTTTTCAAAAACCCCAAAACAATAGGCCGGGGGCCCCGGGGCCGGGGGGGGGGGGGACCCCCCCGGAACCCCTTTCCATTTTTAAAACCCCCCCAGGTAAAAAGGGGGGTTTTTATTTAAGCCAAACCCCCGGTTTTTTATTTAAACACACAGGGCAAAGCCTTTTAAAAGTTCTCCCGGGGAACCCCGAAAACCAGCCGGGCGGGGGCCTCCTTACCTTCTACCAACCTGGACCAAAATTGGGGCCGGGTTTTACCCGTTTAAACCCAAAAGGCAGGGGCCAGGGGGCCCCCCCCGGGGGCCTTACCCAACCTTTTTAATTAAAAACCCCTTGGGACGAAAAGTTAAGGAGGTTTTAAACAATGCAAAGGAATTTTTCGGCCCCAAAGCAACCCCAAATATAAAACCCTGGGTTCCCGGGGAAGGAGACTCGAAACCCAGAACCTTGGAACAAGGGGACGCAGTGTCCTTACCATTCTCACCACCTGGAAACCCAAAACCTTGGCGTCCAGCTTGGGGGCCCGACATTTTATCCCAAAGGGAGCCGCTTTCAGGGAGAAAGGGTTCAAAAATTTTTTTCTCATCCCCTGCAGAATTTTATTTTAATTCCCAAAGGGAATTTGCAAGAAACAGGCGAAATAAACACAAAAAAAGGGTCCTGGCCGAAGGAGATTTGAACCTCGAATTGGAACCCGGTCCCCGTGCCTTTCCTTTTTCCCCACTGGACCCAAAACCCTTGGGGGGTCCAGCTTGCCCCTAGAATTTGATCCAAAAGGAAGCCCGCTTTCCCGGGGAGAAAGTTCACTTTTTCATCTCATCCCCCGCAGATTTTAAAAATAAGGGGATTTTCCCAAGCAAGGGAAAATTTCCCAAAAGACCGGCGAAAATTTAACCACAAACCTTGGAAAAGGTACGCACGGCTTTTTTCCCTTTTTCACCCATGGCCAATTCCTTGGGTCCCCCGTCTTAAAATTTTGGAAAAACCCGGTATTGGGGTTCCCTTTTCTATACTCACTTTTTAAATTTTCAAGCTTTTTTAAAAAATTTCCCTTTTAAAAAACCCGGGACCATCCCCAAATTCCAAACCTTCTAAAACAAGTTTTACGCCAAAAAAATTGGCCCCTCAACTTTTTTTTTTTTTCTTTTAAAACCCCCAAACCTTTCCCCCAAACCCCGGGAACTTTCTTTTAAACTCCCAAAATAATTTTAAAAAAACAGGTGACAATCCACTTTTGTTTAATTTTCTTTTGCCCCCGGGGAAATTTCCTTAAACCCCCCTTTAATATTCAACCCTTTACCCCACCAAACCTAAGGTTTTTTTGGGGAAACTCCTTCCCTCTTTCTAAACCGTACCCCCTAACCAGAAACCCCCTGCTTTTTCAACCCCTTCCCCGCCCCTCATTGCCCCCCCCCCATTTCCCCCCTTTCCCTATGCCCTTTTTTTAAAACCAAAAAATTTCCACACAATTTCACCCC